AGGCCAACGCTCTATCCACTGAGCCAAGCCGGTTAGGGCCCAGCCTACATTCTAAGCAATTCAAAGGATTATTTACACTACAGACTATAATTCTTAGTTTTTCCAGATTTCCTTTCCAAGAATGCATAACAGTAAAAAGTTGTTTTCGACTTTCACCTTCAGAAACACACTGATCTGCCAATGGTACTGACTTTAATATCAGAGGTTTCACAAAAGTATTATACACTTGACCTGTAGAGGTAACAACAATATTGTTATGATAACTATTCCAGATTAGTTCTGTTTATATTAACCCTACCAGACCGCTGTACCAATTTTTTGGTAATTTCGAATCTGCCGCTATACCGCTGTACCTAATTTTCGGTACTTTGCCTAGGTTCAGGGCCTCAGGTCTGGTAGACTTAATTCAGTCTCTTCTCATCACACTCTCCCAAGGCTTTCATTAAGTGTACATTATCAAAGCGACACCTTTTATATCTTACCAGTATTATTTCACAGAATAAATCTTGTATTCCGGGCTTTGGAATAAAGGCCTGGTCATCTTCCGATGACATACCTGAAAGAAAACAAATTTTCAAGTTTGACAATCAGGTGGTGAGTGCTGAAGTTACCAGCAACTATAGGCCAATGACAGTTTTGAGTACTCCAAGACCCACTGAAGGATTCAACAAAGCTCAAGATAGGTACAATGAGGAAAACTCACATCAAAGAGGGACAAAGAGTTGCCTACATTTGCAAATGATACCTGCTTAAACCTCCTGGCCTGCAATGGCAATATTATAAAAACACTCCTAATTACCAGTTTCTTCACTGGCGAGAGAGGTATAAGGGAAGTGCATGTTCAATGATCTCCCTGTTTTGAAGCCCCTTGAACAAGTGTCAGTTGTGTATGACATAGAGTGTGAACAGATTGGCAGTGCACAGTGAGTGCCCTATAATGGCTGCTACAAATGAGAAATTGTTCGAGCACCACAAAGACTGTAGTACTGAACATGTATATGAAGCCTGAAAAAACACCGTGTGTCTTAGAAGGAAACAGAGAACATTTGCAACTGGGAAATTAAACAGACAACCGAACCAAGAACAGAGATCCTGAAAATAGTGTTGACAGAAAGGAGAATTTGTTCCAGAGATTATTATTTGTTTCTTCCTATAGAAAGCATGTTCAAAAGCCTGCTACCTTACAATTCAGGAATCTGAACAAAAGATATCAAGTCTTGAAAAAAAAACAAAAAAAACAGAAAAAGTGTACATTCAGGAAAACAAAATAAATATATTCAAACTGGCACTACATTAATGAAAATATATTAAATATCTCAAAAAGAAAGGAAAATAAACATCTTAATGCTATAAAGTAGGAAAAAAAGACAACTATATAATATCACAAAAATATTATTTAATCAAAATAAAAATACAATGAGAAAGTATTTTACAAACATCACACCAAAAGAGGAAATTGAAATACATAAAACAGGAATTAAAAAATAGAGTAGAATCATGAATGAATGATGTGATCAATTCAAAACATCAAAGAATTTACCTGAGAGTGGTGGCTCAGTGGTAGAGCTTCTACCTACGAACAAGGAGGTCACAGTTTGGTCCCACATAAGAGCACAGGCCTGGGTTGAAGGGTGGATCCCCCAACGTATAGGAGGCAGGCGATCAATGATTCACTAATGTTTCTATTACTCTCTCTCCCTCTCCTTTCCTCTCTGATATCAATAAAGATACATTTTTTAAAAAATAGTAAATAATCGAAGAATTTGTATATAAATCATTAAAATTTTAATTCATTAAGATTTTTATCAAGAGAAGCCAACAAATATCTGGAAATGTGAAGAGAATTTAAGGAACTCATAAGACACTAACAAATCAACCACCAAGGCAACCCCATAGAGAGAGAATAGTGAAAAGGAATAGCTAGCTTATATAAAAAATTAATCGTTTAAAGATCCTGAAAATTGGAGAAAGAGACACAAATACAAGCAGCTCACTGTATTCTAAGTGGAATAAATATAACATGAGCACAGATAAAAACAATGAAAATATCACGAGTACCAGAATACTACCTAAAAACATATAAAAAAATAATTCCTCATGGAAAAGACATCTCCTCTAAGATCATTAGGGTGTTTCTAAGCAGAAAACTATTGGGGGGGAAAGGGCACGAATAAAACAAGGAACTGATGAATGAACAAAAACCACCCAAAAAGAATGTTGACAGAATAGATGATAAACAACAGCGAGGAAAAAACTTTTCCATCTCCAAAACTTTTTTATTATTAGACTGGCCCTATAAAAAATCCGTAACAAATATATTTCTGGGGGTAATTTAAAAATTCTAGACAACACTAACATATGAACAAATAAAGATGCCTTGTATGTGGAAAAATATACAGAAATGTAAAAATTTGTGGTGTTCTATTAAAGAAACACATATCAATTTGATTTCTCTTGTGTAACTTTAGAAAATAAAAGGAATTGTCTGACCTGAGTGGCTCAGTAGTTAAGCGTCTATCTGTGAATCAGGAGGTCACAGTTTGATCCCCGGTCAGGGCACATGCCTGTGTTTCGGGCTCATTCCCCAGTGTGGGGTGTGCAGGAGGTGGCCAATCAATGATTCTCTCTCATCATGGATATTTCTTTCTCTTTTCCCATCTCATTCTTCTCGAAATTAATATAAAAAAATGTATTTATAAAAAATAAATAAAATCTTAAATCTCTTCTATAAGACAAACAACATCAAAGATAATGTGAAATCAACTTACGTGGGTACATGGGTAGAAATGGCAACCAGCAGAGATTTGTATGCAATTGACACCATGAGTTTAAGGTACATTGTTA